CAGTCTTTTGAATCTGGCTTCTTTTCTAATGCATTTGAGATTCATCAGGTTTGTGGTGTGTGTGGGTACTTTGTTTTTTGCATTGCTGAGTCACGTTCTGTTGCATGGATGTACCGCAGTCTGTTGATCCTTTCACCAGTTGAAGGTCCTGTGGGTTGTTTCCGGTTGGTGATGATTATGAGTAAGGGCACTGTAAATATTTGTGTATGGGCTTTTGTGGGGGACATAAACATATTTGCTCGGCTGGTATGGTAAGTGGGAAGCCAGGGGCAGGACATGGAGTAGGGCTTAATTGATAGTGTTAGGCTTGCTGGACTATTGAGAAGACAGAACAAGGAAGTAAAGTGTAAGGAAGCCAGACAGGACACACCACACAGAAGCTGAGTCTCCAGTGAGGACACTGCAAGTAGCCTGTCCCCAGGAGACTCAGTCAGGATGACACGTACACACCCTTCCACTGCTGTCCCAGGGGCAGGGCTGCTGTGACCTCAGACTTCCACATTCTTCACTCACTTCAACAGTCATTAAAAATGTTTACTTTTTAAAACACCCAAGTACATTTTGTTGTAAAAACGTTCAAACAATATGGTAGAATACAGGGTAAAATGCAAAAGCCCCCCTTCACACTCCCTGTTACATCCCAGTCACCCGCCCCTACCCAGACATTACCCATGGTAGCATCTTGAGGCAATTCTTGCACACATTCTTTCCTGTTATTACACACACACATTCACACACATGCATGCACACACACACATGCATGCATACATGCACACATACATTGTGTCTAGGTGTATTGGTCCATTCTTGCATTACTATAAATACCAGAGACTGGGTAATTTAAAAAGAGGTTTAATTGGCTCATGGTTCTGCAGGCTGTACAGGAAGCATAGCAACTTCTACTTCTGTGGAGGCCTCAGGAAATTTCCAATCATGGCAGAAGACAAAGGGTGACTCAAATGTTTTTTTTCTTTTTCATACTTTAAGTTCTAGGGTACATGTGCACAATGTGCAGGTTTGTTACATATGTATACATGTGTCATGTTGGTGTGCTGCACCCATTAACTCGTCATTTACATTAGATATATCTCCTAATGCTATCCCTCCTCCCTCCCCCGACCCCATGACAGGCCCTTGTGTGTAATGTTCCCCACCCTGTGTCCAAGTTCAATTGTTCAGTTCCCACCTATGAGCAAGAACAAATGGTTTTAAACAACCAGATCTCATGAGAACTCACTCACTATCTCAAGGACAGTACCAAGGGGACGGTGCTAAACTGTTGATGAGAAATCCACTCCCATGATCCACTCACCTACCACCAAGCCCCACCTCCAACATTGGGGACTACAATTAGACATGAGATTTGGTGAGGACACAGATCCAAACCATATCACTGGGGATATAGCTTTATCTTCAATTTTGCTGATAGAAATGAGGTACTATGATGTGTGTCACTCAGCAGCTTGATTTTTTGAGTTAAATTGTTTAGTTGATCTGCTCTGTGCATTTAGAACACACATATCTGCCTCTTTTCTAACCTGCTGTTTAGTGCCCTAGGCTAGAGATGTAGCCTCATTTATTTCCTTCCTTTCCTGTTTGTAGCCATTTGATTTGTTTCTAAGTTTCACTATTACATAAAATGTTGCAACAAATAACCTTTTACATATGCCTCTTTGTGCACACATGATTTATTCTCTCATGCAGACACTAAAAATGGAATTTTCTGTGGAAAGTGGATACACATCTAATATTTTGATAAATCTGGACAAATTGATTTCCTAAAAGGATGCACTAATTTATATTCCCACCGACATCCTTTGAGATGCCAATTTTCTCACAACCTCGTCACTGCTGGGAATAACCAATCTTTTAAATTTGTATTAATTTAATAGGTGAAAAATGATCCCTCCATTGTTGTTTTAATTTGCATTTTCCCACTTACTGATAAAATTGATCTTGTCTTCCACGTATTAATTTTCCATGGTGCGTTTCTTTGGATTGCAATTTCTATCCTTTTCTGTTTCTTCTATTGAGTTGTTGCCGTTTGCTTATTGATTTCACAAGTTTCTTTTATAGTCTGGATATTAATCTTTGTATAACATATATATTATTTTTAAAATCTCCCTTTGCTTTTTTTTTTTTTTTTTTTGAGATGGAGTCTCACTCTGTCACCAGGCTGGAGTGCAGTGGCATGATCTTGGCTCATTGCAACCTCTGCTCCCGGATTCAAGTGATTCTCTTGCCCCAGCCTCCCGAGTAGCTGGGATTACAGGCATACACCACCACGCCCAGCTAATTTTTGTATTTTTAGTAGGGACAGGGTTTCACTATGTTAGCCAGGCCAGTCTTGAACTCCTGACCTCGTGATCCGCGCCCCCTCAGACTCCCAAAGTGCTAGGATTACAGGCGTGAGCCACCATGCCTGGGCCCCTTTACATTTTAAAAACATAGTTTATAGTATATTTCATTATACATAACAATTGTTTTTAAGCAGAAAAATCAGTCAGTCTTCCTTTCTGGCTCTGTATGGAGGAGTTGTTTATATGGAGGGCCCGTCCTTCTCTGGGGGACAGGTGATGGCATTTCTCCCAGAAGCTTGCGGAGGCCATTTCCTCAGGGGAGGAGCTCACCTTTCCCACCACTGTGCCTGAGCTCCTTTCTTAGAGCCCAGTTTGGGGAGGGCAGCAAAGCCAGATGCAAGGGTGTTGTCCCTGGTCAAATATGAGAAGGACATAGTTAAGCTTTGTGTCTGGTCAGGTAACTGGCAGGTCACGGTGATTGGCTGAGACCTCTCCCTTCCCCACAGAGGCCCTTCCCATTTCCTTTCCTCAGTTCCTCAGGCTCAGGTTTCTCTCCCCAGGAGCCTCAGATCAGGGAGCCCTGCAGAGCTCGGGGAGGGGGAGCAGCCACATTTGTACCCACCCCTAGGATCAGCCTTTTGCTGGTCCTCTGGCCGTAAGGTGACCTCTCCCTGCCCCCCTTCCCTCTCCAGCCTTCTTTCTTGTCCTCCTCCCCAGTGCCCCATCTGAAGCCGAGGGCTCCTGCAAACCAGGTGCAGGTACCATTAGCAGCAAGAGGCAGAGAAGAGGGTCTTCCCAACCAAGCCACCTCTCCTTGACCTCTTGGGGTGGGGACCGAAGAATCCTCAGAGGGGGTGCTGGGAAGGAACAGGATTTGTTCAGGAGGAGGGGAGTCAGGAGGAGGAGAGAGGAAGCTTCAACCCTGGAAGCATGGCTGGACCACTCGCTCCTGCTGTCTTACCTACTAATGCTTGAGAAAGGTCGGTTGGAAAAAACAAAGTAGATAAAGAATCTAACATATTTCCCTTTATTGAATGTCAGGATTCTTAGAATTGGAAAAATGATGTTTGTATATAATGTATAAAGAAAAGAGAAAAACACCAGGAAAGCTGGTGTGGTGTGTGCAGTTCTAGGTGCAGCTGTTGTGGAGATCTGCTGACCAATGTCAAGTTCAGGGCTGCACTAAGATGTGGATACCTCGCTGAGACTGTGGGCTCTGCTTTGATGGTGGCTGCGTTGGCTGTTATCTGATAACCATAGGAACTCCATGGGCATTTGGGCCATCAGGGTTGGAATTCTACCAGGTATTGGCTAGGGTGCATTTTTGTAATCAGTAGGCCCGGGACTGGGAGTGGGGGTGTGTGTGCCTTTTTGTGATCTCTCCACAAGATGGGTAATTTGTCTAATTTCCATGGAGGAACAGCATGGGCCTACAGCAGGCCCTGTCGTCATCAGAGCTCAGGGGCCAGGTGCTCCACTCCACTTCTGTATTTTTAACTCACAGTATTTTTTTTTTTCATCTGGAAGTATTTTTAAATAAATTGCAGATATCCTGACATTCTACCCTTAAATAATTTATCATACATTTCTAAAACCAGAGCTCTTGCGGCATAGCAAATTAATATGATCACAGCCAATGCAATTAAAAATAGTTTCTTAATAGACTCTACTGCTCAGTCCATATTCACATTTAGACCCAGCAAGTTCAGCACTTTAACCATGAACAGAAACTCTGGTCCGCCTGAGACCTTGGCTGTCCCCAGACTTTCTAGCCCTTGGCCAGGTATGGAGCCTGATCCCCAGAGGAGCCCAGGAAGGCAGGCAAAAACTGGAAAGAGGAAGCAGGAGACTGGAGTTTCCAAGAAAAAGACCACAGACCCTGGGAGCCTAAACTGTCCCTGGATACCAGGACGCTCCCAGAACCTCAGGGGTGAGTGGAGATGGGGCAGGGCTTCGCCTCCTTCCAGGGACTGTGTGCCCTCTTTCGGGCTCATGGAAGGTCATGGCATCCTGACTAACATGACTTCACAGCCAAGTTCCTTATGCTTGTTGGGCTCCTTCCCCCACTGTCTGGTACCCACTAGTGTCCTGCTTTTCTATCCCTCTCCAGCCACCTCTTTTCAGCTTTGCTCCCCCTCCTTTGCTGTCCCTTCCCTTAGCCTGTGCTGGAGTCTTGCACAGGGGCCCCTCCACCTATGGACTCACAACTGTGTTCCCAGGCTGGCTCCTTTTGTTTGTGTCCTGTGATGCTTGGCCCTGAGCTGGGTGCAGGGAGGTCTTGAGTTCATGCTTATTGACTTACTCTCCATGGGGAAGGGGTTTCAGAATTCATCACCATCCCCTTCATTTTCTGGAGAAAGAAACGGATGTTTAGAGAGGGGCAGTGACCTATGTGTCCAAGTTCTTGTAGAGCTGAGCTGAGAAAACAAACCCAGGTCTTGTTTCCAAGCCTTGCTCGCCCATGGCCCTTCTACTCACTGGGCTTGTGTGCAGTGCCTTTCCCTGCTTATAACAGCATCTAAGGCAGCTCCAAGACATACAGGGGACATCAGGTGAACTGAAGATAAGAAAGGGTTATGATGGAGAAAAGAGGGCAAACTAGAGAAGCTGGGCCCCTAGAAATCAAATGTGGGGATGCAGACAGAATTTGAAGGAAACTGAGGAAACAACAGGAATAAAACATTCAGATAATTTTATTATTCACAAAGCGTGTTCATCATCATTATTGCTTATCTTAGTCCTTACAACAGTGTGGTATAACATTTCTCTCTCTACAAGTGAGGAAACTGAGGTCCAGGGAAGGTCCGTGACCTGTTGAAGGTGGCAGGTGGCTTTTTTGGTATCCAGGCTCCTGAGCTCCATCAGGGTTTTCCACCATATGTTCCCCCTGCAATCAGAGCAGGAAACCAGGAAGGGGGTCAGAGACTGCCACACAATTGCACAAGGTGCAGAGGCAACCCCTTCCCCATCCCATTACTCACAGAGTTGGTTGCCATACCCCCCTCACAAGGAGGAAATCTGCCCCCAGCCACTGCTGCCAGAAAGGTGTCAGTGGGTATGCAAGGATTTTGAGCCCAGCTTGGTCAGTTTCCTCGCCCTGATTTTTTCCTTTATTTTCCTCTGCTGTCCACCAAGAAGAGGGGCCTGTTTCCTGCAGGTCTCCAAGTTCACCCTCTGCCCACACACTATTATCTGTCTTTCCAGCTGCAGTAAGCTCCGGAAAGACAGATGGTCTCTGCTGTGTCACAGTTGAGTCCGCTTTCTTCTATACCTCACTCCCTCTAAAACTCAGCCTTTGTTCGGTGTTCCCCTTGTGTCTGGTGCTTTTCGAATATATCACCCTACTTAGAAATCCAAATAGCTTGGTAATGTGGGTGTTATCAGTTCTGTTTTTACCAATAAGGAGACTGGGGGTAGAGACCTTAAGAAACTTTTCCAGGGTCACTTAGTTGGCAAAAATGAAGGGGGTTCTTTGTTACACATTGGCAGAAAGTTTAGCAACACTGTCATCTGCAGTAATGTGGAAAGTAGAAAATGTCCCTCATGAGCTGGGTTGTGCAGCTAGGATTTCCAGGCAAAGTCTTGAAAGTGCTACCTGGTTTCTTCTTGTGGCTCATCATAAAATGAGAGAGGAGAGGTAAACTCTAGGCAGGATTATTCAACATGAGGGAGCTGGGACTTGATGACTTAAAAAATTCTCAGCCTCCAGACAGTAAATGATGCTAAAATCAAATCCAGGGCACATTCAGGAATATTGGTCTAAAGATGAAACCAAGGCTATGACTGTAAAATCCTTTGTTAAGGCCTCAGAAAGGTAGTGCGTTTAGTAGGAAAAACCAAATTGTTTTCAGGTCTGGAAGGTCTTGAGGGCAGGAGCTTCTGTTCTCCGTGGAGCTGGGGTGCATCTCTCTCCCAGAACATGAATGTGTTCACCAACTCAGAAGCTCCTGAACCTTACTTTTGTGATTTTTACAGAGACTTCATCACGTCAGCATGATTGATGAGTAATGCAATCTTCAGCCCCCTCTCCTCCCTGGGGTATGGGAGGTGGGGTGAAAGTTCCAAGCTTTCAATCATGGATTGATACTTTTGGTGCTCAGCCCCCATCCAAGAGCACACTAAGAATCACCTTAGAGGCAAAGATGCCAGGAAATTCCAAGGGAGGTAGGACTTCTGTGTTAGACATTCCTATCACTCAGGAGATTAGAAAGGTCTTAGGAGCTCTGTGTCAGGAACAGAGGTCAAAAAGACCAAATGTGAGAACAAAAGATTCTCTTAGCACTCCTGTTTATAAGGGTCTTAGGAGCTCTGTGTCAGGAACTAAGGTCAAAGATATATATATATATATATATATATACACACACACATATGAAAATTATATATATGAAAATTATATATAAGAATATATACATAATTTATTAAAATTTATTAATTTATTAATAAAAATTAATATAAAATATATAAAACATAAAAGGTATAAAATATATATTAAAATAAAAATATAATAAAAATTATTATTATAATTTATATAAAATCATAATGATTTTAATAGTATATAATTATTATTATTTCACATAGTGTCTCAAGCAAAAGGCCCTTTCATGAATTTAAGGGTGTGTGCTTCATAGATTTTTCAGTCAAACATTAGAGCTTCTAAGAAGTACAAAGACATTATCCTCACTGTCTTGGCAGAAGCACATGGTGTGGAACAGATCTTCTCTTAGAGAAATTTGTGGGTATGGTCTTTGTCTAATGGAGTGAGTCACAGTAAGTTTTACAGGAGATCCACATATTTTGTAAGAGAATGACATTCACAAAACACTGCCAGATTGGACTGAAAGGAACAGAAATAGCATAAAATCTGGGATCTTACTTTGTATCCCCCAAATTAAACTGGCAGGAAGCAGCCTGAGGAAATTATGAAGCTGTAAATATGGGCTGCCTTTCATGGAAAGAGAAGGGTGGCTCAGAAGACACTCAAGCACAGAGGAAGGAGCCACGACCACTGAGAATTATTTCTAGGTAGGTGTTGAGCAGTGTTTGAATCAAGGAATTTCCAACATTTGCCCAGCTAAAGTTCTGATTTTCTAAGCACCAGTGACCTTTTTTTTGCCTCCCCCTTCCACTTCTTTTGAACAAGAATATCTGTAGTGATTTTCCTATGACTGTACTACATTGGACATTGGGGTTGTGTGTGTGTGTGTGTGTGTGCGTGTGTGTGTGTGTGTGGCAGATAACTTGTCTCTAGCTCACAGGTCTTCATACTGAGAATTGTACTTGAGGAACTACACCTGAGGAATTTCCTCCACACCTGGACCTGGTTTAAATGACGAGTTCCTGGACCTCATCCTGATGCCATAATGGGATGAGACTTTGGGAGACCTTTGGTGGGACTGAGTGTATTTTTGCGTGTGGGAGGAATGTAAATAATTTGTGGCCAGAGCGAGTACTGTGGTGGTTTTAAAATACATGCGCTAATTCTTTAATATACCTTCCTTCAAGGGATGGAGGTGAATCCCAGGTCTGGACCCAATGACTGGCTTCTAATGAGTAGAATATGGCAGAAACAGCAGTTTGTGATTTCAGAGACTAGGTTATTAATGGCACTATGACTTCCTCCTTCTGCACCCTCTCTTGGATCAGTTACACTGGGGAGTTATTTCCCTTGCGGTGAAGAAAGGCTCATATGGCAAAGACCTCAGGTCTGTGTGAGCAGCCACGTGAGGGTGCACCGTCTTGGGAACAGCCCTCCATCAAACTCCCCACCACTGCATTTCTTGCTGACATCCTGACTGCAATACCAGAGAGGTTCTGAGCCAGGAGCACCCAGCTAAGTTGTTCCCAAATTTCTGGCCACACCCCCAACCCCCCAAAAAACCTGTGACCTAATGAATATGTATCATTTGTTGTTTTAAGCTAGTATTTTTTGGGGCTAGTTTATTACACAGCATCAAATGAGTCAGGAGAAAGTCACAAGAGTTTTTTCCTGGAAGCCCGGGAAGAAAGCATCTCACGAAGGCAGAAGTGGAAGGCCATGCCTAGGGTGCTCCTCTTCCCAGGGTGAGGAGGTTTCAGCATTGGCTGCTGGATTTCACAGTGCAGAAGTCACTGGAGGTGTTTCAAGGAGTGGCGCAGTCAAAGGCCTGGCTGGAGTGGCTTCAAGAGAGAACAGAAGAGAACCCTGGAGGCTGATGGTGCAGCCAGTCCTTTCATGGGCCCTTGCTGCAGAGGACATTAAGATGATGGAGCAGTAGCTGGAGGGCTGTAAGTGGGGAGGGTTTAATATATTAGAGCCCATTTAGATTCTGACGGTCATGACATACAACTGGGGAAGAAGATGATGAAGGAGAGAGGGGTGGCTCCTGGATGAATATTCCTTTTTTAATTTTAGACAGGATCTTGCTCTGTCGCCTAGGCTGGAGTGCAGTGGCATGATCATAGTTCACTGTAGCCCCACCCTCTTGGGCTCAAGCAATCCTCCTGCCTCAGCCTCCCGAGTAGCTGGGACCACACAAGTCCTCACCTCCATGCTCGGCTGGAATATTCTTGTGTAGACAAGAGAAGATGGGATTTGGAGCTGAAGGAAAGTGATTGGCTTGAGATGAGAGTAGGGAGAGTGAGAGGAAGAAGAGAGGCAGATGATTGGTAGGTGTGGTGGGATCAAGTGGACGTTCTTTTTCCTCCTTCCTTCCCTCCCTCCCTCTTCCTTCTTTCCTTCCTTCCCTCCTCTTTTTCTCTCCCTCTCATTCTGTCCCTCCCTTCCTCCTTCCCTCCCTCCTTCTCTTTCTCTCTTTCTCTCTTTCCCCCACTCTCTCTCTCTTTTCAGTGAGTTAGGATGTGGGCATACCAGCTGAGCATGTAGAGAGGGAAGACAGGGGACGATGTAGGTCTAGAGTGGAGCAGAGTCACTCCACTCTCAAGGTCACATGCTGACAGTGAGACACTTCGGGATGATAGATTGTATTTTGTCAGCCACAGCCACATTCATCTTGGCTGGACACAGGCACAGAGTAAGTGGGAAGCTAGGTCCAACCAGGGTTACAGTTTTCCCAGAGGAGTTCACTAAAAGGGAAGAGGAGCCCAGAAGTGGAGGCTGTGTGCCAAAGAGTGATTTGAGGTTGGATCATGGAAACTAAGGGAAAGGAAAGCATGAGTGCAATGGGGAAAAGGGGCAGATGGCAGGATTAATGGATCATGGGTCCCTGTGGTGTTGAAGCAATACTGGGATCAGGTTAGCAGGATTGAGGTAGGGAGTGGTGGGAATGAGATTAAGAGGGGAGCTGTTGGCGCTTGCTGATCATCTGCAAGGGTGGCTGAGATAGGGAAGAGGACCAGACCATTGGAGGCCAAGGAACTGAGATGCCAAGGATTTGTAAGAATCATTCATGTAGCTCTTGAGTCTACATGGGCCCAAGATCACCAAGAATTATGGCGGGAACAGTCAGAGTGATGTTGAGCCTGGGGTTAAGACCCCCGAGGAATAAACAGCAGTGCCCCAGATCGTACAGAATCTGCAGAAGTGATGGGTGGTCACCCACAGTGATATAGCCTAATGGCAGAAAGCTACTTGTGGAGTACTTTAGGGAGGATAGGAAGATAGGAAGGGGCCGTGAGGAGCACAGAGGACACTGACTCCACCCTTGGACTCAGAAGCATGAGGTCAAGGAGAAAAAACTACCCCCTCCCCCAACAAGAGAACTGTGGAGAAAGTAGCGTCCTCAGAGAACAGGCAGATGTCAGGGAGAGTACCGAGGCGACGTTCAGAGAAGCTGAGTGCACAGGGGCTTGTGCTGATGACTGCGTACTTCAGGTACGCAGGTGGAAAGGTTATGGAATTTGGGACGAATGGGAAATGGGGCTAATGTAATCGATTTATAAGGTCTTACTGAGTTGGGATTCTGGGTGATGAGGGAGGACCAGGGCATCCTGGGCGTCTTATAGCAACTGGAGTGAACAGGGATATAATAAGCCACCAAGAGGCTATACTGGAGTCTGAGTGCTTACCTTCGGGGAAGGGGAGGGGGCCAGGAGTCTTTACATGAGCAAGTGGAGACCTGGGATCTCACTTGCTCCTGCCCTTGGTGGCAGATGCTGGGGAGGGGTGTTTTGATGGAAAATCTGAGGTCCCTCCTCACTCTTGCCAAGAAGGTGAAAGCAGCAATAACTGGATAAAAATTGCATAAACCCATCCTCAAGGATGAACAGAGAGCTCCATACACATTTTGAAGGTGGGTAAAATCAGATGACTTCACAGATCATAGAGAGCTGGTGGGAGTGGGGGAATATGAGGGAAGTCGTTTTTACCTTAGAACCCCAGAAAGGTGGAGAAATGGGAGGTGCAGGTATCTCTTAAGGCAGGGTTGAAGTGGGTGCTGGAAACCAGAGACCAGGTTGGAGCTCTGCTCTAAGAATCACTTAGACTTCTAGATTCTCTGGGTTCCGTGAGACGGAGAGTAGGTTAGCTGCCCACATCCTGTCTTTCCTCTCTCTCAACAGCTGCAGAGAGCTTGAGGTAAGTCTTTGATGAGGGTGACACAGAGATGCTCCGCTCGGAGCACAGGGCGCCACAGAGAGAGAGAGTGTGCAGTGGGGGCTTGGGTGGGAACAGACATTGGGCAGCGAGACCCTTTTGCTCTGCTCCAGTTGGTGCCTAGAACCCTGGGTCTAGACTTACACCCCCAGGGAGGACAGCTAAGAGTCCTTTCTGGAGAAACCGAGCTGTGAAAGAGAAGAAATGGAGCCATGCTCCTACCCAGTCAGCCTGGAGCCCAGGGCACCCCGCGGCATGCACTGGGTTTCTGAGCTCTTCCATGCGAGTGGGTGGCTGAGAAGCGGCAAAGGTTTCCAGAACGCTCTGAAGAAAGACAGAGGTCAATGAAAGGAGAAAATAAAAAATATGACGGGCACCTTGGAGGACACAGAAAATATGGAAGGCTTCGGAAAAGTTCAAAAGTTAAAACTTTAATATTTCCAGAGAAAATATGTCTGGCCAAAATAAAACATGCTGTGCTATAAAAAGGAACATTCAGGGAACAAATGGACCATTTAGAAATGAAAAATGTGATCGTGTACATTGAAAACACTTGAATGGAATGTACCCTTGAGGAACTTTCTCAGAAAGTAGGAATAAAGAAACGTAGATGACAAACAGGAGAGGAAAGATAATCACGTCAGGCTCAGATCGGTAGGTCCAACATCGGATTGTAAGTGTCAGAAAGAGAGAACAGCCCTGTGGGGGTGACAGGCCTGGGGCAAGGCGCGGAGTGATCTTGAATGTGGCAAGTTGCGAGCCTCTTGACCAGCTTGTGCAGAAAAAAGAAAGGTTCACTTCCTTGTAGAGGCTGCAGCCATGTTGGTGGCGGTAAGGACAGCACAGAGGGGCGCTGTGCTGCAAGGGCGGCTGATCTAGGCAAAGCATTGTGGGGGCCCCAGTAATGACACTGGACTTCAATTCCTGGGTGGCGGAAATGCACAGAGGTGTTGTTGGGAAGGGACTTCTCAGGGGAACAATCTAGGAGGCGGGGACTGAAGACAGGACCCCCCATTAGGTGGCTGACGCAGTGGTCCGAGTGCCAGTGTGAGGTGAAGGGGCTAGGAAATGGGGAGGAGGCACAATAGGGGAGGCCTTGGCAGAGTGTGGCTGAGCAAGGGGAGAGGGAGAGGGAAACGTTGGGGTGACTCAGGCATCTGGATTTGGGGTGTTAAATAAGAGTAATAAGAGGCCATTGGTTTAGACTGAGCTCCTGCACTAGGCCCAACAGCCCAAACCAAAATGGGGTCACTGGTGCTAAGGTTCCACGCCACCAAGCCAAAACCAAGTTGTTTATCTCACCTTCCGAGAAATTAAGAGAGAGAGGTAACAGCCAAATCCCTGCACAGGCCAGTTTTAGCTGGTATGGTAGGGAAGTCCCCTCTGCTTTAACCTTTTACAAAGAAGGTACCTTTGAAATGACCAATTTCTTTTTGTTCCTTGTTTGCACTTTCTTCTGTCTTTTTCTGTCACTCCAACTGCCCAGGTTGCAGAGCACAGTTCTCTAAACCTCTTCTGATTCTGAGGGCTGCCCAATTTGCAAATCGTTCTTTGCTCAAATAAACTCTGTTAAATTTTTTTTGTCTAAAGTGTTTCTTTTCTTCTTTTCTGTTTTAGAGACAAGGTCTCACTCTGTCGCTCAGGCTGGAGTGCATGATCATGGTTCACAGCAACCGGGAACTCTTGGCTTCAAGCAATCCTCCAGCCTTGGCCTCCCAAAGTTGTGGTATTACAGGTGTCAGCCCCCAGCGTTCCAGGCCTCAAGTTTTTCTTTTATCAGGGGCTATAGATAGGAGGAGGAGGCAGGGAAGAAGGATTCTTATCATTGACTCAGGTTTGGTAGAAAGGTGCTGCAGGTGCTGGGCTTTGCACCCACAACCGGGTGCTGGCCCCAGTGCAAACTGAGGGTGAGCAAGTAGAGGGCCTGGGCTCTGCAGCTCTGCAGGGAGGGCGTGGCCAAAGGCCTTGGATCAAGTTCTGGCCTTTTCTTTGCAGAGAATGCAGAGGTCAGAGGTCCTGGAGCTCCTGGGAGCCCAGCCTTGTCAGAGACTGGCTGCCCACCTGAGGTCCTGTGGCTCAGTGGGAATTGTCTATGGGCCTGGGGCCTGGTCTGAGCTGGGCGCAGCAGAGATCTCCCTTGATGCTGCACATGCCGATTCCTTGAGACCCCTGAGATATGGGGAGAAATACATGAAGTGACTTGAATCCGTTCTCCCACCCCGTCCCTCTCCCCAAGCCTGCCCCTCCTCCAGCAAGCCGGCTCCTGGCCTGACTCAGTTGTCCCTGTACCTTTCACTCAGCCCCACCTATGGTTTTTCCCATGTATCCCCTTCTCCCTGGGTGCTGTTTCCCTCCTGTGTCTACCCTCTCTCCCTCAGGACTAGAATGAGGTGGAGTCCTGGGATGGTGGCTTTAGGGAGTCCCTGGACTTGGGCTTGCCTGGAAGGGCAGGTGGTGGGAGGGACTTTCCAGCTGTGCAGGTCTGTGTTTCTGATGGAGGGCTGGGGGAGGGGAAGGGGAGGGGAGACGGAAGGAGAAAGGTAGAGGGAAGAAGAGGAGAGGAGGGAGGGGTAGAGAGAGAGGGAGAGAGGAAGGGGGTGGAATGGGAAAGAGGGAGGGGGAGGAATGGAGAGGGAAAGGGAGGACAAGGGAGTGGGGGGAAGAAAGAGAGAGAGAAAGGGAGAGAGAGAGGAGAAAACACAGAGAAAGAGAAACATGGATGAGATTCCTGCAAGTTTGCAGCTGAAGGACAAAGGTAAGCCTGTGTGACATATCAGATGGAGGGACTCCATGAGGGCTTTAGTTTGGAGAGCTCTGCCAATTATAATTTCCACCTCTGTTCTCTGGCCGATTCCCCTCTGACCCTCCATCCTGGGCAGAAGCTGTTCCCTGTTCCATTTGCCCCAAGTCCAACGCTCACCACACTCACCACCAGATGAGCAGGGCTGACAGCACCAGGCTCTTGACTACGAGGAGTCCACAGAGCACAGGGACCAGGGCACAGGGGGCTGCAGGGCCAGGGTGGAGCGTGGAGTTCTGTGGCCTGGAAGGCGGAGGGACAGGAAGGGGAGAGGACAGGTTATGGAGACAAGTCTTCATCTGCCGGCCCCCGCCCAGGCCTGTGTGGCTACGGGCGCCCCCCCCGAACTCACTGTGAAGGGACAGTGATGGTAGCTGGAGACTCAGGGTCTTCTCTGGCTCCTCCAGTGGGAGGCACACAGCTCTGGGTCTGGGTCTGTGAAGAGACCAGGTTGCGGGGAGCCCAAGAGGTCTGGGTCTGGGTCTGGGTCTGTGAAGAGACCAGGTTGCGGGGAGCCCAGGAGGTCTGTGTGGAGGCAGAGGCTGCCAGGGAGGAGAAAGGGCTGTGGTTAGTGAGTGGAAGACCTCACCTGTGCCTGCCAGCAGGAAAGCTGGTTGGGGGAGTGGGACCAGGCTGGGAACAGAGCCCATGAGCCCAGAGAAGAAAACTGATTTGAGGGGTGGGCACTGAACTGTGAAGTCCTCTGGCTCAGAATTAGAAACACCTGTGGCCTGGGCTCTATTGGGCCCCTGCAGTCATATCCTTGAGTCCAGGAGGAGCACTGGAAGAGGACTCAGGAGGCCTGGTCCCCTCCCAGCACTCAAGTCTTTGGACGGGCACCCACCTGAACCTCCCGAGGGTGGACATGGCCATGATGCTTCGGGCCCCTCTGGCTCTCGACCCTCCATTCTCTTTCTCATGCCTCTGGGGTTTGGGAAGGGAGCCTCTTGTGGGAATTTGAAAGGTAGTTTTCAGATTTCTGCCCTTCCCAGTTCTGCTGCACAGCCATGGACCCCAAGCCTCAGCAGCCTAGGGAATGCCTTTCACAGCCCCTCTTGACTCTGGGACTCTGTGAACTGGCTGTGCACCACTCCTACCATTCACCTTCCCAGGAAGACCCAGAGCCACCTGTGCTCAGAGCCCTTGGTGGAAGTGGGGAATGGCTGTCTCTGGAAGAGTGATGGGGACTGTTGAGGTCAAAAAGGCAATGCTGGTTACGGGGGCGGTGGCAGGGTGTGAAGGAAAAGAAAGTGGGGTTGGAACCAAGGCTGGGAGAGGAAGTGGGGATTCTCAGTGTCTCAACCTAGCAGACTAGGTCTACATACCTAACTGGAGTCCAGGAGGTGGGGAGAGGGGGAAAAAAGGGGAAAGGGCTAGGAGGGGCGTGAAGGAGAGGGTGCCTGAGGCTGGGTCATTCCTCGTCCCAGAGACTGCCCTGGCAGGTCCTCCCTGGACTGAGTCACAGGCCTATGGACCTGTGGACACGATCCTGTCCCACAGGACACTCTCTGAGGCTGTCTAGGATGCTGTCCAGGATAACCCTGTGCTCAGCCTGGGAGAAGGCCGTGTTTGGGACACTCTGGTAAAATTCTAGGCCTGTGCTATTGAATGTGTCATCTATGGCCTGGTGCTGGTCTACAAATTGTCTGTAACCCATTCACAACAAGGTAAGTATAAAAATTGGGAGTAGGGGTTTCAAAACGTTTATATCAATTTGTTATTGCCTCAAGATCCAAGCATGTGATTAGTTAACTCGTCTCATCTCCTTGAACGGGATATAGACCAGCTTGGGTGTTGTCAAATTAGCATGGAGAGTTGAACATGGAGCGAGCTGTGTGCTAGTAACCTATGCCAGGGCCATGCTACAGTGGGTGATACTTTAAAATTAGTTGTTAGTGGCCAGGCATGGTGGCTCACGCCTGTAATTCTGGCACTTTGGGAGGCCAAGGCAGGTGGATCACTAGAGGTCAGGAGTTTCAGACCAGCCTGGCCAACATGGTGAGACCCCATCTCTACTAAAAATACAAAAAAATTATCCAGGCGTGGTAGTAGACACCTGTAATCCCAGCTACTCGGGAGGCTGAGGCATGAACTCAGGAGGCGGAGGTTGCAGTGAGCCGAGATCGCGTTACTACACTCCAGCCTGGGCGACAGACAGACTCTGTCTCAAAAAAAAAAAAAAAAAAAAGTAAATAAATAAATAAAATAAAATAAGTTTTTAGCTGTAACCCAAAAGTGTATAAACATCTGGAAAGATGTATAATTTTATAATTTATTATTTTTACAATCATTTTCATTTTTAATCAAACATTTTAAACAAAATGTAAAGTGTAACATGATTAGCTAATTTAGAGTAGAATAGTGATTACTTAATTAGCGTTCTAATGAACAGATAGCAAAACAAGTCACTGAAAAAACACATCTTTCCTGGATGTGGCAGTGACAGCCAAATGAAGATGGTAGAATTGATTCCAAAGAAATTTTTTCCTTCTGCAATTATTCCAAAGAGTTTGTGCTGGTCTTGTTTGAAAGTAGAATCCCTCATTGTGGTAGGCAGAATAAGGGTACCCCAAAATGTCTACTCCCTAATCCCAGGAACCTGTGAGGACATTGCCTTCCATGGCAAAGGGAAATTTGCAGGTGTGATTAAGGTTGAAGACCTTGAGTTGGAGAGAGTTGCCTGGATTATCCAGGTGGGCTCGATCTAATTATGAGTCTGTAAGAGCAGAGAACGTTTCCTAGCTGTGGTCAGAGATAGGTGCAATGTGAGAGGGACCCCCATCCGGTGTTGATGGCTTTGATGAGGGAGAAAGGTGGCCGTGGGCCAAGGAATGTGGCAGCCTCATGAAGCTGGGGACAACCTTCGGTTTACAGCAAGCAAGAAAACAAGACCTCCGTCTCTGATAGCTGCAGGAAACTGAACTCTGCCCACAACCTGGATGAGGAGAAACAGATGATCTCCTAGAGCCCCCAGGAGGGAACACAGCCTGCTGACCCTTGGTTTCAGTTCAGTAAGACCCATACTGGACAATGTAAGATAATAAATTTGTTTTAAGCCACTAAATTTGTGGTAATTTGTTATGGCAGCAACAGGGAACTATTACACTCATATATGTGAGTTTTGTAGTTATAATTAGTAGGGAAGTATTAAAACCTAGTGAGTTATTTGTTGAGATGTATTGGCTTATGAGGCAAGTGCACCATAAAAACAAGTGACATAGTCTGGGTACGGTGGCTCACGCCTGTAATCCCAGCACTTTGGGAGGCCGAGGCGGGTGGATCACCTGAGGTCAGAAGTTTGAGACAAGGCTGACCAATATGGTGAAACCCTGTCTCTACTAAAAATACACAAATTAGCCCGGCATGGTGGCAGGTGCCTGTAGTCCCAGCTACACCAGAGGCTGAGGCAGGAGAATCGCTTGAACTCTGGAGGCGGAGGTTGCAGTGAGCCGAGATTGCGCCACCGCACTCCAGACAGAGCGAGACTCCGTCTCAAAATGAAACAAAACAAAACAAAACAAAAAACGAGTGGCATATACATATGAAACGGAAAAACACAAGTTCACAACAAACTGTTTTTAGGAAAAAAAAGAGTACTGGATTGAAAAGCTCTTGAAAGGAATCTGTATTTCACATATAAGCTCTAGACTTTGTGGCTTCTTGTAAAGTAACATTTTGTATTGCAAAGACCAACAATCCATCTACAGTTGCCGAAACATTACTGAACAACGTTTGCTTTATGACACTGGGTAATGTATAGCAAAGAAGGGAGCTTGATATCATTTTCCCTTGATGCCTTAGGTCAACATATGCAGGAATTGGATAATGAGATGGATGACCACCTCCCAGAACAAATAAAGCTAGCAAAGTATTCTTCATGGCAATTTGAAAAAAATGCACAAATATTGCTAGCATAACTATTCCTTTAGTATATGCAATTTGAACACAATGATATGAAGGAATTCTGTATCTTTTAGCTTAATTGTCACAAACACAACTAGCTCTGAACTGTATAAAACTATGAAGGTTATATTATCAAAATGTGGTTCGGGGGTTAAGTTTTATGTAAGAGTATGTTCTGATGACTGCAATTGCAATGACAGGAAAATGTCATCCAGGTTAAGAAGGCTTGGGCTAGATTGTAAATTAATGCACTCCTTCCTTCATTGAGAGAGTTTTGCTATGAAATAAAATCAGCTTAACTGAACGTTGTGCTGACCAATGTGGACAAAATTGTGAATTTTATGAGGTGAATATATGAAATTTGAAATCATTCTCTTTATTATGTGGTAATATGAAAACAGATCATAAACAGCTACTGTTGCATGCCAAATTCAAAGTTTTGTTGAGAATGTTTCATCTATAGAAAGAATTCCTCATGTTTCTTTAAGACAAGAAGCTAGTTTAGTACAAATGTGAACTGTACCTTCAAGCTTGTTTATACTGTAGTTCTGATGTTAACATGTCCATGCAAGGAAGTAAAGCAACATGTTTTTCAGTGGCGAATAAAGTCTAAGTGCAAACATAAAAGTTAGAAGAACCATTTCTGTGAATTGTTATGACATATTCTTAATTTAATAACATTTATCAACAAAATAGGTGATGATATTGCATATCTTCACAAGTGCTCATGGGAAAACACTGATAATTTGATAGCATGTTTTGAATTTTGTTTTTTGTCAAAAGAAGATATATGCAGAGGAAATTCATAGATCTAGAATCCATATTTTCCCATCAAAAGATAATTTAAACTATAACTTTTAGGATAAACTTTTGGAACTGGCTACTGATAAAGGATTGAAGATGCATTTTGAAATTACAGCATCGCTTGCTTCCTTTTATAAAAGTTAAACATAAAACTGTTGAGCTTGTCGGAATTGCTTTAAAATTTCTTCTGTTTCTGACATTATACCTCCGTGAGACCAATTTTCTGGTCTTCTACTATGAGTATTATTTTTTAAAAAATCAGCACAATTTCTTTATACATTATCTCCTAAGCGATGTGGTGTCATAAATAGTTCTCAGATTAGGTAAGTTAACAAGTAAGAAAAGTGCTCATTTGTCACATTATAATCCTTAAACATGGACAGACAGGGTGTTTGTTTGAAGGGTGCATACTGGCATTTAATATAGAGAACTGCAATTTCCCCTCTAACTTTGTATTTAGTTTTAACTGAGGAACAACAAAACGTTTTGAGTATACCGTTAAGCCGCTACATCAATCACCTTTAGGCGCACTTTCAAATGAAATGTATACAGTTTTTATAAATTTTTCCCTATGTGATATTTGTTCTGATTATATTTATTACAATGTAATTTTATGTTTGTCAAATTTAATAAATTTTGGGCTTGTACTTTGTATGTCTTTTTCTTATTTTTCTAGTAATTTGTTTTTACCATGTTTTACCAAAAAAATTAGTCATGTGAATTGCAGATTTTTTTTTTTAAAAGGTCCTCCTCCATAGGAACTTAGAGTAGCTCTGCTTTGGGCAGGAGGTTGGCACACTTTCTGTAAAGGGTCAGGGATGAGCCATGTGGTCTCTGTCACAGCTGCTCTATTTTGCTGTCACAGCATGAAAAGGGCCACAGACAATAGGTAAACGAGTGGGCATGGCTGTGTTCCAAAAAATAACTCTACTTACAGGCACTGAAATTTGAATTTCCTGTATGCCACAAAATATTGTTTTTCTTTTGATTTTTTTCACCCATTCTTAGTTATCGGGCCATCCTTTACTGACCCTGATCTGGACTATGAGGGATACCCATAGTATCTTGGTATTTCGACTACCCAGATACTACTGGCTCTACCTGGTGGGGGCAGCCAGTGGATGCACCTTTCCTGGGCACCTGCTATGTACCAAAGATGCTGGGCGGTCCTGCCCTCCTGTAGCAGGGTCATGTGGGCTGACTGCTTAGCATGCTCACCAGGTGTGTTTCAGCGTCTCTCAGGAGGCCCAGGCTGCAGGCTTGGGAGTCAGGGAGACTGTGAGATGGCTGCTCTTGTGCACATATGAGTTCCCCCCATACCTGTTCCCAACAGCCTCCCCAGGAGACTGGGGTGTGGGCATGGGTGGCTTCCATGATTAGGAAACCAGGGGTGATGGAGGCACCAAAAGGGGGTGAGGGGCACCCCCCTGAGGACCCTAGGGAAAGAGCTCACCTGGAGATACCACCAGATAGAACCTGACGGACTTAGAGACAGAGTTGTCAGAAGGGCGGTAGATTCTACACCAGTAGTGTCCTGAGTCTTCCTCTCTCAGATCAGTCATGGTGACAGTGAAGAAGCCAGCAGCAGGGTCATCCCAGATTGCGAATCGAGAGGTTGCAGCCACCGTCCTGGGCTTGGAGCTGGTGACTAACCTGATGCACACGAGTGCTGATGCCTCCTTACACCAGCCTTTCTTCTCGTAGAGCCTGCCTGTGGGCGGGTACTGGCATCTCACGGTCAGCGTCTGCCCTGCCACACTTTGAAGTACCTGAGCCTTGGATCGTGCCTGAGAGCCTGTAGAATGATGAAGTAATGCATAGGTCAAGGCCACACGCACAACCTGCCTCATAGCAGGCCTCTGCCCACAGAGCCACCTGCTACCTGACTCTGCTGTCCCGACAGTCCCCACCATCCCCATCTCCTCTGTTCCCTGGCTCCCCCTCCCCCTCACCTGGGAACAGCAGCAGCAGCAGTAGCAGTGGGTGTGGGGCTCGCCAGGCCATGTGGCCCTTTTCCTGTGTGCTCGTGGGAGGGGATACCTGGAGAAGACTGGGGAGAGGGAACTGGGAGCTGGGCCTGATTCTGCTGCTCTTCCAGCACCTCTGATAGAAAAATGAGACAGGCTAAGGCCTGGGTTGGGGAGATGGGAGACTGCAAAGGGCAGGTTCTGTGGGCACAGGGAAGCGGGGATCTCCAGCTGTAGGTGAGTCTGGGCCTGGTGGGCTGGGTGCTGTCCGGCACACAGCTTCCCAGCCCTCTGTAGAAGATGCCTGCTCTCCCCTGCACCCAGCTGCCCCTCCCCACCATGACCTACCCCTGAGGGAGGAGCTGAAAAGGCCAGGAGGAAACTGTGGGCGAGTAATGGACTGCTTCCCCCTTGCTCCCTCTCTGCGCTGCCTCTTCTTTGCAGGGCCTGGGATTTGCCGCCTTTTCCAGGGAAAGTCAGGCTGAAGGTGGATGACAAGCTCAGGGGCACTTGGCACCCTGATCATGAGTCCCAAGCCCCACTGGTCACAGGGTGGCCAGGGACGTCATGCCCAGGCCTCTGTGATGGGTCAGTGATGTGCTTCCACTCTGGGAAGTTTCGTGGGTGCGGGAGAGGAGAGGGGAGAGGAGGTGGAGATTCAAAACCAGCAAGGGAGGCTAGGGAGGGTCCTTGGCAAAGGTAGGGGAGGGGAGGGTTGGGAGAGCACACCGAGCAGGAGATGCATCAGTGGGGTAGGGTAGAGGGAGCCCAGGCACCCGGACCTGGCCTCATCTCTGCATCCTCGACCTTCACCACTTAAGGACCCTGGAAGAATATTGTTTAATTAAAACATAAACAGATGAAAGACTCTAGCATTTTTTTTTAGTTAATATCAGCACTTTGAAGATTTAATTTTAAAATAAGATGCAATTTACAAAGAGAACGAGCTAATATATCTTAGGACCGGTAGCAACACTGTGTGTAATTGCAGTTGCACCACTGGGGGCTCTGCTGGTCTGGCGTCTGCTGCCAGGAGCTCTGTGAACAGAGGTAATGACTGAGATGGGAATTGGAACTTGTCAAGTGGACTCGATTCCAAGTCCACTGCTTTGCCTGCCCCTGGACTCCTGCTCCCTACTCCGTCTCAGTACAGTGCCCTACTCCTTACAGTAGGAGTGTGCAGAGACTGAGAACGGGAAGGGCAGAGGGGTAGGCAAAAGGAGGACACAGCAGGGCTATCAGACGTTGGTGCCCAAGGGCCCGAGGTGGGAAAGCAGGCTGGAGCTCCGGAGCCAGAAGACAGCTCAAGGAGTGATGCCCACCACTCACTCACACAAGCATTGTTTACAAAGTGTGCTCATGCACACTTTCTCAAGACCCTCAGCAGGTTCGCGGGGGAGGTATTACTTCTCTTTTTCACAGATGTGGGAACTGAGGCCCAGATATGGTCAGCCACCTGCTCAGAGTCACACAGGACCAGAACAGGCCTCCTGACTTCTGTCTGGGGCCTTCTGGCTGGCCTGGTTGAAGTATGACCCACAGACAGGACAGGAAACCAGGGGCAAGAGAGAGGCTCCCATGGAGCTGCACACACAGGCAGAGGTGAGCTTGTAGGGGGTTTTCTTGCCGACAGTGGGGCCCAGCTTCTTCCTGAACATAATTATGTACCAAATCAGGGTGGGGCACCCTCCTGAGGGGGAGGAAGGCACCCTGTCTCCAGATGGCACCGAGGCACATCACTCTGTGTGTGTGTGGTTCAGCGACTGTGTTCCCATGCTGACTTGCCCCGTCTCTGACCGCTGCTGACTCTGAGAAGTGACAGCTCCTCCTTGTAGCTTACAAGAGCACTCCTTGCTATGTGCCACTAGCTGTGTGTCTCTTCAGCCTGCGGCCAGCTCTGCATCATTCTCTGCTGTGTTAGAGTGTGTCGTCTGTCCCCGGGGACAGGAGTTCTCAAAGGGGGTAATCTGCCCCTCTCTCTGTGCTGCGGCCTCCCCACCCATGTGAGTGGGGTGGGCACCGTCCACATAGATTTGGGGCCTTGAGCACCCTAGGGGAGGACCCTGTTGGAACCATCTGCACCCTCAGCTTCCTCTGGCGTCTGGGACCTGGAGGCAGGGAAGCCTGGGCTTAGGCAGCCACTCATCCAGGCTGGGGCTGGTCCTGCCCCCTGGGGACTCACAACAGCCCTTGTCACAAGTTGAATTTCTGCAGGAGGGACTGGGGCAGGGAGCTGTGGTGGGATCTGGGGCCCCTTCAGAAATCTCTTGAAGAGTTAGAGATAGTGCCTTCCCCTTGGATGATCAGAGAAGGCACGACAAAGTCCTGTCAAAGGGCCTAGGGTTCTGGGGGGTTCTGGGTTCTCTGCCCAACCTCTGAGAAGGTCCCTCAGGGAACTTGGGAGCCTCAGCAACCTCCTCTCCTAAACTCATTGTCACACACACTCACAGGAACCCAGAGAAGGAGCTGGGAGAGCTGGAGACTTCATGTACTTGCTTTTCTAGCGAGGCCCACTCTAGTCTGCACCAGTGGCTCTGAGCCCAGATAGTTCTCACGGGAAGGGAGGGCTGGCCTCTGATGCAGAAACAGGGAAACCAGGGAGCCATAGAAGTCTGGAGGTGATCCCCAAAACTCAGCTCAGGGCTAAGCTAGGCTGGGCAGGGGTGAAGGGGTAGCTGTAAATTCCCCCCCGATAGAACCAGAAGAAGCAGGGACAAAAGGGAATTTCTCTCAGTGCTGAATTCACAACTAAGGGAGATGAGGTCCAGAGAAGGCAAGTGGCCTGTCCAAAGTCACTCAGCTATTTCAGGGGCAAACCAGGACTAGCATCCAGGCCTCCTCTCTCCTGGCCTGGTGCTCCTCCTGGGCTCAGAGATTCTCCATGGGCACCTCCTTAGCCTTCACCCAGGCTCGCCTATTGCAGATCCAAGCAGGCTTCTCCTTGAACCCCAACGGGTCTGCTTATACCTCTGCCCCCAGTGGCTCTCTGTCCCCAGTGGCTCTCTGTTCCCAGTGGCTCTCTGCTCCCAGTGGCTCTCTGTTCCCAGTGGCTCTCTGCTCCCAGTGGCTCTCTGTTCCCAGTGGCTCTCTGCTCCCAGTGGCTCTCTGCCCCCAGTGGCTCTCTGCTCCCAGTGGCTCTCTGCCCCCAGTGGCTCTCTGCTCCCAGTGGCTCTCTGCCCCTAGTGGCTGTCTACCCCCAGTGGCTCTCTGCTCCCAGTGGCTCTCTGCCCCCAGTGGCTCTCTGGCCCCCAGTGGCTCTCTGCTCCCAGTGGCTCTCTGCTCCCAGTGGCTCTCTGTCCCTGCTCTAGCAGGATCCTTCAGTCACCAATTCCCCTGACAGGGTTATTCCTGCTCCCATGACAATGGTCCCATAACAATAGCCTTTCCTGTTCCCAGGATACCAGGTTTAAAGCATCTGGTCTTAAAGCAGCTTTTTCCCTGCCAGAGTGGTCAGAGGCCTGAGCTACTGCCCACACAAGCCTGCAGTCTGGGTGCACAGCTCCTCCACAGGAAGTTCAGGGTTGGTCAGGCACAGAGCCAGGCTTCCACCCTAAGCACCCTGTGGGGAGGCCTGGGCTCAGGGAGTGCAGGAAGCAGCCATCACCACAGCTGGGTTCTCCTGCTTCTTTTCCTTCCTTACTCCATGGAACCAACCCCATTCTCCAACCCCCTCACCCCATTCAGCTGCCCCCATGGCCCTAGTCTCTGTGCTGCCTGGTGCTGTCAGCCCTGCATGTGCTCCTGAGCTGCAGGCTGGAGCGGGGGGAGTATGGCTGGGTTTGGCCTGGGGCCAGAGGGTGGGAGCGAAATGGAGCATAATGGGGACAGCTGTGCTGGGAAAGGTGGTCGGGTCAGAAGATGAGACAAAAATCAGGGGTGGGGTTTGAAAATGATGCTTAACATCAATTTGAATATCCTTTGGTCATCATCTCTGCTTGCTCATTTGCTTGTTACAGGCCAATCAAGATCCTTGCCTTTAAACTCTCAGGCCCTCACCCAAGTGCACCCACACTCACACAGACACTTACTGCACTCTCTCCTTCAGCAGACCGCTCTGCTCCATAGAAGCCAGCCCCAAGTCAGGGGGTGACAGAGCTGGAGGAGGGCAGTCCCGGGGAGGAACAGGGCCAGGTGGTCCACACCCTTCACGAACAACATGGGGGCAGCAGCTATGGAGGTCTCTGAAGGCTTCAGCTCAGCACAAGCCGAGGAGCGATGCTCAGCTCTTGCCATTCTGGGACAGCTGAGATAATGAGTAAGGAAGGTGCCATCCAGTGACTGCAGAAGACACCCACCAGCACCTAAATCCCTGCTGTGGCAGGACCCTCCCACATTGCTGTCCCTAGCCCCTCTGGAACACTCCCTGTGCATCTGACCCAATGCCCCAAACAGGGGAGACCAAACCCAGTTCAGTCTCTTTGCCCAACCTTAGAATCTTCTTCCTCCATGATCTCCCCTCTTCCTTTAATTTCCCTAAATCACTCAGTAACCACCACTGCCAGCTCTGGCTCCCCTCTGTCCTCGCTCTGTTCTCCCAAGTTCAGGCTGCCCAGCTCACACACATATCTGCACATCTGCCCTTAACTGTCTCCTCCCTTCAGCCTCCACCTTCTCAGGGGCTCCTGCGGACAGCTCCTGGTGAATTCTCCCTGTGCAGAGTCTTGACAGGGCCCCAGCCCTTATTCTCTCCAAAGCCTACTGGAGATCACTTTGCAGGGAATGCATTGCAGCTTCCTCAAGGCCTGGCCTGGTGTGGCATCCCATCTCTGACACCTCCATTTCAAATGCACCTCTGCAAGCCAAGAGAAGGCCCTACTGTCTGGAGAAGGCAGGTCGCATGTACTTCCTTCTGTGCTTAGATTCTAATGGGGAACATGGAGGGGAGAAAGGGTCAGTAGTGTGGCCCACTGGACCCCCTGGCATTCTCTCTTCCAGCCCCCTATCTTTGTAAATGGAAAAAAATAAATAATAAAAAAAAGATAAATCCAAGTTAAACAAGAAAAGTGGCCACTGATACATTTGATTTCTGAGGGTTAA